GCATTTCAAGGAAGACAACAATAACGTCCATCCTCATCACTGTTCACGTCAGCTTCATAAAAGCCACCTCACATCACCTCATATCAACAAGAGGTTGGGGAAGTAATTTCAGCCGATCAATGGTGATAAAGAATGATAAATTCTGGTGACTTTTCCTGATGAGGTGTGTGTGATGTGTGTGTGTGTGTGTGTGTGCGTGTGGTCGCATGTGTGTGTGTGTGTGTGCAGTGTGTAGTGTGGTGTGTGTGTGTGGGTGTGTGTGTGGTGTGTGTGTGTGTGTGTCGTGTGTGTGTGTGTGTGTGTGTGGTGTGTGTGTGTGTGTGTGATGCTGTGTGTGTGTGGTGTGTGTGTGTGTGATGTGTAGTGACGTGGGGTGTGTGTGTGTGGTGTGAGCGTGTGTGTCGTGGTGCGCGTGGTGTGTGTGTGTGTGTTGTGCTCCATGTGTGTGGTGGCTGATGATGTGGGTGTCGTGTGTGTGGGCTGATTCGAACGCTGTCTGTGTGTGTGTGTGTGTTGTGTGTGGTGTGTGATGTGTCGTGTGTGTGGATGTGGTGTGTGTGTGTGTGTGTGTGTGTGTGTGGCCTGTGGTGTGTGTGTGTGTGCAATGGTGTGTGTGTGTGTGTTGTGTCGTGTGTCGTGTTGATAGTGTGTGTGTGTGATGTGTGTGTGTGTGTGTGTGTGTGATGTGGGTGTGTGTGTGTGTGTGTGGTGTGATGGTGTGTGTGCTGTGTGTGTGGCGTGTGTGTGTTGTGTGTGTGGGGTCGGTGTGTGGTGTGTGTGTTGCTGTGTGTGTGTGGGTGCTGTGTGTGTGTGTCGATTGTGCTGTGTCGTGTGTGTGTGTGTGTGTGTGTGTGTGTGTGTGTGTGTGTGATTTATGTGTGTGTGTGTGTGTGTGTGTGTTTGTGTGACTGTGGTGTGTGTGGTGTGAAATTGTGTGTGTGACCTGTGTGTTGTGGTCGCGTGTGTCGGTAAGTGTGATGTGTGTGTGTGTGTGTGTGTGTGTGTGTGTTGTGTGATGTGTGTGGGTGGCACTTGTGGTACTGTGTGTGTGTGTGTGTGTGTGTGTGTGTGTGTGTGTGTGTAGTGTGTGTGTGTGTGTGATGTGTTGTGTGTGTGTGCTGGTTGTGTGTCGTGTGTGCTGTGTGTGTCGTGTGTGTGGTGTGTGGGTGCTGTGACTGTTGTGTGTGGTGTGTTGTGCTGGTGTGTGTGTGTGTGTGTGTGTGTTTTTTTTTTTTTGTGTGTGTCGGATGGTGTGTCGTTGTGTGTGTCGCTCTGTGTGTGTGTGTTGTGTGTCTGTGTGTCGTGTGTGGGTGTGTGCTGTGTGTGTGAGTGTGTGTGTGTTTGTTGTGTGTGGTGTGTGATGCAAGGCGACGTGTGTGTGTGTGTGTGTGTGTGTGTGTGTGTGTTGTGTGGTTGTGTCGTGTGTGTCGTGTGAATGTGTGAGCGTGTGGTGCGCTGTGTGGATGTGTGTGTGTGTGTAGTGTGTGTGTGCTGTGTGGGGGTGTGTGCATGGTGTGTGTGTGTGTGTTGGTGTGTGTGTGTGTGTGTGTGTGTGGCTGTGTGTGTGTGTGTGTGTGTGTGCCTGTGTGTGTGGTTGCTGTGTGTGTGTGTGTGGGTGTGTGTGTGCTGTGTGTGTGTGTGTGTGTGCACCTGTGTGTGTGTGCTGTAGTGTGTGTGTGTGTGGGGGTGTGTTATGTAGGGTGTTGTGTGTGTGTGTGTGTGTGTGTGTGCTTGTGTGTGTGTGATGTGTGTTGTGTGGTGTGTGCTGTGTGTGGTCGTGTGATGTGTGTGTGTGTGTGTGTTGTGTCGTGTGTGTTGTGTGTGGTGGTGTGTGTGTGGAGGATGTGTGTGGCACGCTGTGTGTGTGTGTGGCACTCGTGTGTGTGTGTGTGTGTTGTGTTGTGTATGTTGCTGTGTGTGTGGTGTGTGTGTGTGTGTAGTGTGTGTGTGTGTGTGTGCGCTGTGTGTGGTGTGTGTGTGTGTGTGTGTGTGTGTGTGTTGTGTGTGTGTGTGTGTGTGTGTGGTGTGTGTGTGTGGTATGTGTGTGAATGTGCTGACTTGTGTGTGCTGTGTGTTGTGCTTGTGGGTGTGTGCGCCCCGAGGGCGCGTAGTGTCGCTCCTCGTGGTTGTGATGTGGCGACTGGTGTGTTGTGTGTGTGTGTGTGTGTGTCGTGTGTGTGTGTGTGTTGTGTGTAGTGTGTGTGGTGTGTGTGGTGTGTGTGTGTGTGTGTGTGTGTGTGTGTGTGTGATGTCGGTGTGTGTGTGTGTGTGTGTGTGCTGTGGGTGTGTGTGGTGTGGTGTGTGTGCTGTGTGTGTCGTCGATGTGTGTTGTGTATGTGTGTGTGTGTGTGTGTGTGTGTGTGATGTGTGTGTGAGGTGCTTCGTGGATAGTACGGAACAGGCTACTAATTAGTCTCTATAATTTCCTTTCAAGAAAGCATCAATCGCACGCACTAGCTCGGATCGCAGCTCAAGAGACGCTACGACTGTTTTAGTTAGCAAGCGAAATTGATGTACAGCCGCTGGCCATTGTCACGTGCTCGCGCGCGTCGTTCACACACACACACACACACACACACACACACACACACACACAACACACACACACACACACACACACACACCACACACACACCACGCATACGCACACGCACACATGCCGGCGCAATAAGGCGACCAATTTGTTTGCACGGAAAGGCTTGATGGCAGCTGACGTACGTGCCCGCCCGGCACACCACCCGCCACTAATTCCACGCTGAAAGCACGGCACGAATCAGACGCACGCACGCGACGCACACCCGCGCCCGCAATGCAGGCCACGGCAAGCACGCACGCCGTAGAAAGAAGTGTGCGAGATTAAAAACGGATTGGAAATTTCAACATGCGCTATCATTATTCTATCTTGCGCTACCCTAATGAACATATGATACGAGTGACAGTCCTCAACGGAAGGCGTACGCTCACCGTACGTACTGCTACGTACGATAGTTTTCCTGCCAGTCGCAATTATAGACGCAATTTACGCCTGTGTGTTCTGCCTGCGTGCATTGGTGCTGTGTGTGGTGTGTGTGTGTGTGTGTGTTGTGTGTGTGTGTGTGTGTGTGTGTGTGTGTGCGCGCGTGCGTGTGTGTGTGCGCGCGCGCGCGTGTGTGTGTGTGTGTGCGTTCGCGCAATCAGGAGCAGCTTCGGTAAGCAGGCCCAACATGTTCTGCTTGCATCTATGACAAATACGACATACGCATATACGCTCGCCTATGACACTATTTGTCATAGGAAGATCACAGATGAACGAAGATGGCGGCAGACGACTGAGTGGGGGGCACTGATCCCCCCTGCGCGGGTTTTGCGCGTGCCACCTTATTGACACACACACGGGGTTGTTTACGCATTGTACACGCAGATGCTGTTGTAACCTCGTACTTCGGTTACTTAGGTGAGGTAGGCAGCGGGTAAGAGAACAGGGTATAAGATGCGCAACGACATGAAGCAAACACGAACTAGCGAAGTAACGTACCACAAGCGACTGTATTGATAGCCATAATAGTACAAGTACAAGACGTAGCGTAGAAATGCAACGTGACAAGGTAGAACACAGGGAGAGAGAGAGTCGAGCTCCCTGTGCCTGAGTGCCGCTCGCCTTATATACCCCGGCGATTCCTGTGCCCGCCATCCGGGCATTATCCTGTCACCTCTTGGGTTTTCCAGGTTCCCGTTCTGCCGGCCCCCGTCTTAGTGGGGCGGATATGTGACATTTTTTACTTAAAGTGTGCACTTCTGGAAAGAAGCATGAAAATTTGCTCTAGGGGGGTTTTGAGTATGCACGATGTCACTCCAACGGTTCCTGCCAAAAAATCAAAAATTAAAAATGGCCACCAGAAAACGTGTTTTTGCCCATAAATTAGCTGTAAGTGCCCCGATTACCATGATCTTGGCGTCTATACCTATGTTTTTGAAGACAAATAATGCAATAAAACTCTTGTCAAATATCATAAGATATATCTTCCCGCCAAAAAGTTGAAAATTCAAAATGGCCACCACAAAACACAGTTTTGCCCATAAATCGATCAGCTGTAAGTGCACCAAGTACCATGATCTTGGTCTCTATACATATGTTTTTGAGGTCAATGAACCCCATAGAACGGATATAGAACACATTGAGATGTATCATAACATCTTCCCGCCAAAAATATTTAATCCAAAATGGCTGCCACAAACGCATTTCTTTGCCATAAAATGGCTATACGTGCCACGATTACCAAGATCTAGGTATCTATGCCAGTTTTTATGTCAAGGATCCCGATGGAAAACATGAAATATCCTAACATACATCTTCAAATTAAACAAATACAATATAAAATGTTTTTAGGTCAAAGAAAGAACTCGGTTACACATATGTGAAAAATCATGATGAAAAATAATGCCATCTATACTTTAGTTCATAATTTCTGTTACACTTTGGAAGGTACGCCTGCGTGCCTGCCAAAACGTCGTTCCTTAGATCACAGCGTGAACAAAAATATGTTGCCTATGTGGAGTTACTTAATTGGAAAGATTATTCCGTGAATGTTTGCTCTTGACCACTATCACTATATGTGAGGTGTACGGTTTATGTGAGAGATAAACTTACCCTCGAGATTANTCTACAACAGCAGCAGCAGCAGCAGCAGGAATCAAGAGTGGTTAACTAATGTCTTGGTGCATTCCCTCAGATCGTGCATGACGCTGCTCTAGCAATAGCAGACAGGCCAGCAGCAGCAGCAGCAGCAGAGTGGTTAACTACATGTTTGGTGGCATCTCTCCACGCTCGCTCTCACAACAGAGCAGCAGCAGCAGCAGCAGCAGCAGGCAGGCAGCAGCAGCAGCAGCGTTTGTTAACTAATGTTTGCGTGGCATTCTCTCATCGCGCTCTACAACATACAGCAAGCAGCAGCAGCAGGAGCAGAGTAGTTAACTAATGTTTGGTGCACATTCTCCTCATCGCTGCTCTACAATAGCAAGCACAGGCAGCGAGCAAGCAGCAGGCAGCAAGCAGACCAGCAGCAGCAGAGTGTTTAACCTAATGTTTGGTGCATTCTCTCATCGCTGCTCTACAATAGCAGCAGCGCAGCAGCAGCAGCAGCAGCAGCAGAGTGGTTAACTAAGTTTGGTCGGAGCCATTCTCATCACATCAATCCGCGATTCTACAATAGCAAGCAGCGAGCAGCAGCCAGCACAGAGTGGGTTAACTAATGTTTGGTGCACTCTCTCATCGCTGCTCTACAATAGCGAGCAGCAGCAGCAGCACACCGCAGCAAGATGGTTAACTAATGTTTGGTGCATGTCTCTCATACGCTGCTCTTAACAATTAGACATGCACAGTGCAGCAGCCGCAGCCAGCAGCAAGAGTGTTAACCTAAATGTTTGTGCATTCTCTCATGCGCTGCTCTACAATAGGGGCAGCAGCAGCAGCAGCAGCAGCAACCAGCAGAGGTGGTAACTAATGTTTGGTGGGCATTCTCATCATTCGCTGGCCTACACGCAGGCAGCAAGCAGCAGAAGTAGTTAACTACTGTTTTGGTGGCATTCTCTCATGTGCTGCTCTACATATAGCAGGCAGCAGCACAAGCAGCAAAGTGGTAACTAAATGTTTGGTGCATTCCTCCAGTTGCTGCTCTACAATACTAACAGCAGCAGAAGGCAGCAGCAGCAGGCAGCACAGCAGCAGCAGTCAGCAGCAGAAGTGGTTAAAGCTAGTGTTTGGATGCATTCTCTCATTGCTGCCTCTAACAAAGCAACAAGCAGCAGCAGCAGCAGCAGCAAGCATGGTTAACTAATGTTGTTAATGCGAGTTGCGCGTCACTGCGCTGCTCTACAATAGCAGCAGCAAGCAGCACAGCAGCACCAGAGTGTTAACTAATGTTTTGGCTGGCCAGTTCTCTCATGCCTGTCTAACAATGGCAGCCAGCGGCAGCAGCAGAGCAAGCCAGAGTGGTTAACTAATGTTGGTGCATTCTCTCATCGCTGCTCTATAATTAGAAAGGCAGCCAGCAGCAACAGCAGGGCAGGGCAGCAGCGTGTGTAACTAATGTTGGGTGCATTCCCGTCATCAGTAGCTGATCTACAAATAGCAGCAGCAGCAGCAGCGCAAGCAGCCAGCAGAGTGCGTTAACTATGTTTGGTGGCATTCTCTCATCATCGCTGCTCTAGCAATAGCAAGCAGAACAGCAGCAGAGTGTTAACTAATGTTTGGGTGCTGCTCGTAACAATAAGCAGCAGCAGCAAGGCAGCAGCAGAGCTGTAACTATATGTTTGGTGCATTCTCTCAATCGCGCTGCTCTACAATAGCACAGCAGCACAGGCCGCAAGTGGTTAATTCAAACTGTCTTGGTGCATTCTCTCATCGCTGTCTACAATAGCAAGGCAGCAGCAAGGGCCAGGCAGCCAGCACAGCAAGCGCAGCAGAGTGGTTAACTAATGTTTGGTGCATTCTCTCATGCGCTGCTTCTAATAATAGCAGGCAGCACGCAGCAACAGAGTGGTTAGACTAATGTTTGGTGCTGCTCTACCAATAGCAAGCAACGCAGCAAGCAGCAGCAGGCAGGCAAGCAGCAAGCAGCAAGTGGTTAACTAAATGTGGTTGCCAATCTCTCATCATCGCTGATAGCTACAATAGCACAAGCAGCAGCCAGCAGAGTGTTAAGCTAATGTATTAGTGCCATTCTCCTCATCGCTGCTCTACACATAGCAAGGCAGCAAGCAGCATCAGCAGCGTGGTTAATTAATGTTTTGGTGCATTCTCGCCACGTTGCTGCTCTACAAATAGCAGGCAGCAGCAGCAGCAAGCAGCAGAGTGTTAACTAATGTTTGGTGGCTGGCTTCTACAAGTCACAGCAGCAGCAGCAGCAGCAGCAGGCAGCAGAGTCCGGCTTAACCTAAATGTTTGTGCATTCTCTTCATCATCGCTTGATTCTACAATACAGTCAGCAGCAGCAGAGTGTTAACTAAATGTTTTATGCATTCTTATCATCGCGCTCTATGCAAATAGCAAGCAGGCAGCAGAGCAGCAAGCAGAACGTGGTTGAATTAATTTTGGTGGCATCTACGTCCTCCCATTGCTTGCTCTGATAATAAGCAGCAGGCAGCGCAACAGCAGCAGCAGCAGAGTGGTTTAACTATATGTTTGGTGGGCAATTCTCGCTGGCATATGCTAGCCTCTACAATAGGCCAGGCAGCAGGTCAGCAGCAGAGTGGTTAACTAATGTTTTGGTCATTTCTTCTCATTGCTGGGCTCTATCAATACGCAGCAGCAGCACACAGCAGAATCGGTTAACTAAATGTTTGGTGCGGCATCTCTCATTGTCTGCCTCTACAATAAGCAGCAAGCAGCAAAGCAGCACAGCACACTGGTTTAACTAATGTTTTGGTGCATATCTCTTACGCTCTCTACAAATAGCAGCAGCAGCAGCAAGCAGCAGCAGTGGTTAACTAAATGTTGGTGCATTCTTCGATCGCTGGCTCTACTGTAGTGCTCCTAGGGTAGACGAACTACGGATTCGACAGACTTAGTTTACAACGCGTGTCCGCCAGTAGTAGGATCCAGTGGTCCGCTCCTGCCGGTGTATTAAGGCAGGACCGCGATGACACGTGAGCCGACTAACAGTGAATAGCTGAGCAGAACAAGTGATATAGCGGTTAACGATAGCGGTGATATAGTTTTTATTGCGTGTTATCTGATGTACACAGGATTCCCCTGCATTCGTATATGCAGGCGGCCATTTTAAATATTTTATTGATCCCGTCTAATATCCTTACGCGTGCCTTCCTTAGTTGCTTCCATCCCGTTCGTCCTTGCCTTGCGTGAATCCACACGGTCTCTGCCCAGAGGGGGGTGTCGCGCCCGGCAACCCAAAAGATAAAGCTATGGCGTTGGACTGGAAGTGTTCTCGCTTTCGGGCTTACAGTGAGTGCTTCATAAATGATTCAGTTCGCTGTCATTTAAGGGAATCACTACACACGCTAGCCAGGTGTAGGGTAGCCGTCGATAATTTTACGGCACGGAACAAGACTCTCCCTAACCATATCGTAAAGTAAAAAAAAGAGAGCAGTTGTTTTACGCGCTAGCGGTAAGAGCGTTAGCTCTACTTCATACGGGTAGCAATCCTTATTTAACACCACACCTCCAACAGTAGCGTGACAGGTCAAATTTCTAGGAATAAACATTAAAGCTAACTTTTCACCAACGTTCCTATTCGTCATCGTTTTGTATGTGTGTATGCAATTCTTGATATTCATACTATCATCTATCATCTATTATCTCTGTGTATTCATGTGTAGGTGGCGTCTTTCTGCTCTTGTACTCTCGTTCTGTTGTTTGTGTGATGTGTCTGCGTGAATGAACAGTAAATATATATATATATATATATACATATATATATAAGTAAAAACACACGGACACCCATGAGGAGATAACATCAATTTAAAAATAGAAATGTGTCAAAATTTTATAAAATTACAATTTTGACACCTATTTCTATTTTTTAATTTATCTTACATGTATATATATTAAATATATTATATATTCAGCCTTCATACCGGCGCCACCTATCGTCGGCAACCTCATCGACAAGACGTGCGTGCTGTGGCAGACGACGGACTGCGGCGAGGACGGCGCCTGCTGGAAGTACGACAACGCGCGCTTCCGCTACACGCTGCACGGAGTCCCGCTCGTCACGCTCACCATCGCCGCCGTCTTCTACTTCGTCGGGTTCCTGCAGTGCAAGGGCAGGTACAGTCTGAGCGAGTCGTCTAGCGAAGATGGCCCCGCGTTGCTGACGG